TCTGATTCGTCTTCTTCTTCAGCCATCTGTAAGGAGATCTGCGCAAGTTCTAGTTTGATCTTTAATACTTCTTCACGAGCCTTCAAAATTCTTTTATTGGGCCGAACAGTCTTCTTAGACTTCGTACTGCAAACGGTGTGGCCCCTCGGTGGCTCTTCGGAGTGGGTGTCTTCCCGGGCTGGTGGCGATGATGCACGTCTAAAGTCATCGTTGCCTTCTGTATGTTCCCTCTGCTTCGTTGTGCGGGCCGTAGTGGACGGCGCGGGCAGGGGTATCCCCCCCTCGGGGGGGCAGCATGGCGCCTCAGCGCCCTCTACCGTTGACGGCGAGCGTGGTGGCATCTGGTGGTGGACGGCGGCGTTACTGGCCGACGAACCTCCTTCCAGACCGACGGTCCACGCTTTGGCTGCTCTTCCTTGCGAACGGGTGATCGGCATCTTGAATCTGAAAATTCTGCGGTTTTAATACGGTGGTGACTATTTACCCGGTTCCGAAATACAAACGGATAGATCCGGCTCGAAGGACCAACGAATGTGCCGGACGGGCGAAACTCTCCGGAGTAAATGTTGTCGAAGATACTTCGCGAGTCGCTCACGTCCTACACCTATAGGTTCCGGTGGGTACTCTCACCGCCGTCTTTGTTGGTGCCGCTGAAATATTGTGGACTGTAGTTAAAATCAAAATGCACTATTAACAAATACAAATAGCAAGGTAGTGGCCAGCGGTTCAACTTATTGATTAATCGCGAAATTTTATAACTATTATTTATTGATCACTGTTGTTAAACTACGGTTGTTCACTATTGATTGGTCACTGTATATTTCAAAAGATTTCTATAAACTGTACGGTGGTATCAAGTATCTATTGGTAGTAGCTGGTTTTCTAACACTACTGACTAGCAGCTATTATCAACTAAACTAGTTGATTTTATCACTTGTGTAACTGCGGATATCAGTTACCACTTTCACCATATGTAACTGCGAATATCAGTTACGACCTTTTTAGGCTAGCTAACACTTTCACTATGTAACTGCGAATGTCAGTTACGACCTTTTTAGGCTAGGTAACACTTTCACAATGTAACTGCGAATGTCAGTTACGACCTTTTTCGTCTAGCTAACACTTTCACTATGTGTAACTGCGAATGTCAGTTACGACCTTTTTAGGCTAGGTAACACTTTCACTATGTAACTGCGAATGTCAGTTACGACCTTTTTCGGCTAGCTAACACTTTCACTATGTGTAACTGCGAATGTCAGTTACGACCTTTTTCGGCTAGCTAACACTTTCACTATTCACTATATACTGCTACTAGTCACTTCAGCTACCACCGGATACCACTCACTTCACTTCACTTGTCACTGGTAGTTCTTCACACTACTACTGGTACTGGGTCCCGAGCCCCTAAGGTAGACTTTAGCAATACTTTACAGTGAGCCGCTTGCCATTTTCCGTTTTGCCTCTTTATTGCATAAACTTATCACTATACAGATGGCATAAATTGCAATATTTTCTATACAAAACTAATTGCTACACTAACATGCTATACATCATTAAATCGGTAGTCTGATACTTTATTAATATATCATAAAGGTTATTAAAAACATTAACATTGTAAAAAGTTATTAAACGAAATGTCCCAAATTTTCATAATATTTGGGCATTTTAATTCTTTAATTTTTCTATAACTACGAAATGCGTTTAATTATGCAAAAATAATCCTATACTTTCTTAATCTATAAGCCATATGCTAATTCAATGTCATATTTATAACTCTTTTAGGACATAAAATTATTTTCATTATTTTTAGTATGAACTATTACGCAGTTAATTAAAAACTTCCAGAGTTCCACGATAAGACGCGCTGTGATTGGTCGATTTTTTGGTATATAATAAAAGTTGTTTATATTAATTGTTATCAAAACGACATTCTATACAAACATATTGAGAGTTATAAATATGCTAAATAACTATATTAATACACGTTTTCACTCAGTTTTCTTGGTATTTCACTATTAATACATAAAACAATATTCTTTATCATTTTGTTTCTTAAGGTTGTTAGGCCGTCGCGAACAATAATGGAGAAAAGAAGGGGAACATTGACCAAAGGAATCCTTCTTCTGCACGACAACGCGCCCGTTCACAAGTGCCATGTTGCGATGGCTGCCTTGCAGAAGATGAGCTTCGAAATTTTGCCACACCCACCCTTTAGTCCTGACCTGGCCCCCAGTGATTATTATCTATTTCTAAACTTAAAAAAAGAACTTCATGGGAAAAAGTTTTTAAGTGATGAAGAAGTGAAGGAAGCAGTTTTGGTGTATTTTTTAGACAAAGACAAATCACTTTTTTTTATTTTGAGGGTTTGTGTTGTTGAAAAAATGTTTTAATAAACTGAAATCAAGACCAAATTATTCTTTTGAAATACCAAAAATAGAAATGGTTATAATTACTATTTTTTTCATAATAGTAAAATTAAGGTGTCATCAAGCAGCTTATGTGATTAGTTATCTAATTTACTTAAGCATCTTAATTAGTAAGTTTAGAAAGTTAAAAGTACATCATAATGTGATATAGAGATAAATAGCATCTATTTAGATCTATATCTATGAGTCAGATAGTATTTTTGAGCTTGTATTTTTACTTTGTCATTTTCATCAATTTCAACATGTTTACCCCGACACCCTATGAATAATGAAGCTGATTATATAATTAATCATAAAGGTTTTTAAGTTTTCTTTGTGCTTTTTACATGATAAAATTTCGAACTCCACACCAAGATCTATTAATAATTTAATTCTATCACATATACCACTGTAGGGGCCATTTTGTAAAGCATTTTTTATTATCTTAATTACTCTTTCAACACACTCTAAAAAGTTTTGGGAGGGTCTCATAAGTGATCTTCGCGTGACATCTACAGACAAAATGTAATCATCTACTTGTGGCGGAGTTGTATCACACAATTCATTGTTACATGTAATACATGATTTGCAAACTTTAATTTTTAAGTAAAATTTGTAAGAAAAAGTTAGAGATAACTTCTCTTACAATTTTTAAATTAAAATTGCTTTGTTATGGCGCCATCTATTTCGTTCTAATGGCAGTCTTTTTATTGTACAAAAATTGATTGAGTCTCAAAGTGATACATAATGATGCTAAATAAGTTTAAACATCAAAAATACAGGATGAGGGTGGGAATTTGGCTGCCGGCGAATTGCCGCTCCTGTTATATCTATTAAAAATAATGGTTTGAAGTGGATGTAGGCACTATGGAGTGTAGACACGTAAACGTGGTGCCATTTTATGTATTTTATGTCTGAGCAAGTGAACTATTATATATATAATATATATATATATATATATATATATATATACAACGTCCCAAAATTCAACGATAAGCCAACACCGGAGGATAGACCTGCCCTGGACTAATCGGGGAAAAAAAAGAAAAAAATATATATTCCAATTATATTTTAAGTTATATAAAAAAAATTAAATTCTTCAGAAATTGAGACCGTTTATGATATTTTTCACTACCATGACCACAATTTTTTTTAATATTTTTTTCTTTTTTTTTATAGGCAACCTGAATAGTACTGCTATCTACCACAATTCTTAAAAACTCCAGAATAACCTTGTTTTATCACGAAAATTAATGAAACTTATTTTATTCTCTAAAATTTTTGAAGACTTACTAAAAGTAAGAAGTACTAAAAGTATGAACACTAGTATGGCAAGTTTTTTTTAAAAATTGACGCAACTAACCAAAATTCCAAAATGGTATAATACTCTAGGAAAACAAGATATAAAAAAATATGGGCCTATTATTTCTTAACAGGGGCCAAATTCCTTAAATTGTAATTGTCAGTAATCACTTTTACTACATGCCTAAAATGGGTTCTTGTTACAATTTCTAGGAATTTGAATGGGGCATTAATACCTTAGATGTTAGAGAGAGATAGATAGATAGAGATATTTACGTTAAAAAGAGACAACAACAGGGCAGGTAGAGTAGCTGTTATCATTCTCAGCAAGTCAGTTCAGTACGCTCTGCTCCTTTGTTTACTGCGCACCGTTCCCAAGTCAACTTACGTGGCTCTCGTACATACTATCGATTTTTGGCTTGGCTTTTTGGACTGGAATCGACCTGCAAACTTAACTGACCTGGCATTATTTGGATTGGAAGTGATCTGCAAACTGAACTGACCTGGCATTATCTTGGACTACGATTGTGTGTTTTGTGATTTAGAGTTTTTTGGACTGTTTGGCGTTTAACATGCCGCAACCGTTAACACCACAGAAATACGCTAATATGCATTTAATCTATGGAGAATGCCTATATAATGCTAAAGCTGCTAGCAGACTGTATCGAGAAAGATACCCAAGTGCTCAAAAATATCCTGATTATCGAGTGTTTATTAGCTTAGGCTTAGGTTTCTCTGTCTACGAGTAAGAACTTTCTATGGGTGATAATTCCTATATCATGAAGGTTAGAGAACAGGATAACGATCACTACGTACTAAAGCATAGCCCGCCTGTCCTTGAAAATTGTAGATCTTTGATGTCGATATAAACCTCATGTAATTTGGATCGCTTCGGCGCCTTATGAACTTGAGTGACTGTCGTCATCAACTGTCCACTAGGTTGAGCTGTCGTCAAAATCTCCCAAGGGCTTCGCAATGTGACGCATCGGCATATTGTGAAGAAAAAGAACATAAAATTAAGATTCCAAAAGAAAGGATAGGCTCAGAATGTCTAGAAACCAGAGCCGTAAAGCCAGTTAATAAAGAAGAAAATCAAATAAACTAGGCTCAGAAGAGCTAGAACCCAGAGCCGTAAAGCCAGTTAATAAAAATATCAAATAAACTATAGAGACTATAGAATGTAAAACGAGCGTCAAAAATGGATTTTGTTCCTCTTGCTTGATGGCGTGTTGATTTGATTATTTATTTATTTCGTATTTTGATTTTGACAAAAATAATAATTATTTATTAATTATGGATTCGTTAGACGGTGACGGTAAAGTGGTGATCTTCATAGGAAGATGTAAATGTTGTCTAAATGAAGGAGACTTAAAAAATTTGTGGACGCCGTATAGGTTTGAAGAAGAAACCGAAATTTATGGAATGATGTTGACAGAATGTTTTGCTCTATCAGTAAGTAAAATCACTTGTTTTGTTTCGTTTTTATGGGCTTTCAATCACTTGCTAAGGTACCAGATTTTCTATTAGGAATCTTATCTTAACCTTATAGTTATTTTATTTAAAAAAAATTATGGACCGTAGTTTCCATTATTGTTGAAAAGGCTCAAGAAGTTAGAACATTTTTAATTTATACTCGGATGGTTGTCACATGGTGAAACTTTCGATTCTATTTTTTTGTGTGTCATACTAAGAAAACCCGAAGATGCCGTGAGGCGAAGCCGGTTGTTTCCAATAGTTAGTAAATTAATAATTAAATATTTTCACTCCGATTTTCAGACAATAGCAATGAACTACATGTAGTACACGGAACAGCAAATGAGTTAAATATTGTGAAACAAGTACAAGCATGTATCCAAATCACAAAAATAAGAACATTTTGTTTTGTTACCTCTTTCTTATTTTCAATTTATACAAATTACAAAATAATTCTATAAAAATACCTTAAGTAAATCTCTACCATGAAGGCACAGCGTCTTAATATAACTCCTGTGCAAGAAAATCATGGAGAGAGTAAGGTTGCCAAGTCTACTATAACTAGTTTGTTATATTAGAGGTTTGAACACTAATGTTCAAATTAAAAGGCAAAACTACTACATTTAATAACAGCTAACTATAGTGTGAGGCTGTTAATAAAGGCTCAAAACAATATAAAATCGTCATCTGCCATTAAAGCCCACCTTTGTTTTCCTCTGTGCTTCATCAGTTCTAACATATCTTTTGTCATGATATTCCAGTGGCAACAACCAGAGGACAACATGAAATATATGGATATGATATGCACCTCTTGCATCTCTCGATTACGTGATGCACTTGCCTTCAAAAGAGAAGTTTTAGTGAGTGAAGAGGTGCTGCGTGAAAAACAAAATGAATGTAAGTATATACATTTATGTACCAGGTGTATGTTTAATCAATATGACTGCCAGGGCATAGAAACCAGAAAAAAATTAAAAGTACGGCTTTCAGTCACTGAGAGGAGCCTTAAGAGAGACTACTTATCTGTTCAGCATAGATCATGGTCTGATGGGTGGCCAATTAATCACCACCGGGAAATACCACCAATTTTTATAACTTAGAGTTGTTGCTGAGAACTGATGCTAGATTCAGGATTTGAACCTGGGATCTCATGATCATCAAAGTGCTTGTATTTTGTACAAAGTGCTTTTATTTTGTAATTTTTAACACATCTCTACAACGGCATTCTAATAACAATTCTGCAATAAAACTAAATGTATTAAATTTACTACATACAGAATGTTAATAATCTGAATAGTAATGTGTTTTTAAACGGGGAAGAGCTGAGCCCTGTTCAAATTCACTGTTTTTCTCAGCATCACTTTGGATGTAAGGCTTCAATGGGGGCACCTTATATATCCAAACTATCAAGCAAACTAAGCACAGCAGCTTATGCTGTAAAAAAAATTAAGAGGTCTCAGTAGTGTCGAGACAGCTAGATTCGTTTATTTCAGTTATTTCCATAACATATTGCCTTATGGAATTTTGCTATGGGGAAATACGGATGATTTAGAAACTATTGTTGTTGTGCAAAAGAGGGCCATAAAAACTATTAACACCCTAAAACAGAGTCTCTTAGAGAAAAATTAAAAGATACAAATATATTAACTTTGGCCTCTTAGTATATTAATGAAAATTTGATGTATGTTCACAACAACAAAGGTAGTTTTGTTAATAAAAGTAATATACACTCTGTAAATACTAGGAATATACACAAGCTAGTGATACCAGTTTCTGGACTCCGTAGAATCAGTAATTCATTCTTGTATACTATATTACAAAAAAAATTTTTATAAAAGTTCCGCTGGATATCTTGCTGCTTCTTACCAGGACATCGGTTTTTTTTTTCCGAATCAGTGGTGAAGTAAAAAACTACTTTCAATTTGTAAGAATTACATGTGATCTATATTGAATAAAAAATCATTCTATTCCATTCAGTTGCAAACTATGAATAAAACACATTGATTTGGAGTGATTGTAGAAATAGAATTATTTTTTGCATTGAAATTCTGTTTTGATTTAGACATTGTATAACTTGTTCCACTTGTTACAAAGCTGGTGGATCCCATAGAATAATCTGGTTTTCAGTAACAATTTAAACATTTACGTAAGAGTTGTATTAATTAGGAATGATAATCATCATCATTATTGTAGCCTTCATAGGTCCTCCACTGCTGAACACAGGCTATCCCCAAGAAATGCCACAAGGTACGGTCCTGAGCAACCTCATCCAGGAATGATAATACATTAATTGAAATTTAAATGATATATGACTTATCAACTGAATTTGTCTGTATTATACAAGTGCCTCCTATTGTCAGTTAATTGTACCATACCTATAAAATTTGCATAAGTGTAAGCAATAAGTTGACATAAATTTTAGAGCAAACTTATGAATGGTTTCGCAGTGCATAAAATACAAACAAACAAATATTAATTTTTATATATTAAATAATACTTAATTTAAATAAGCAATAATCAACATTTATAAGTAAGAGTGTTAGTGAATTTTAAAAATAGGCCTGCTGCACTCAAAACAAAAATAAATAAATAATAACATTTTATTTTTTATTCCAGTATTTCAATATACTACAGTGAAAGTGGAGAAACATGTAAAAGAGGAAGCAGAAGAAGAAGAAACTGAGTTTAAAGAAGTGGAATACTTAGAGATCACCGACAGTGTAAACAAAGATGAATTGTATGAAGAACCTCTCTCAGATGGTAGGGTTTCAAGTATTTTTGTGTTAGTGTGTTGCTCAAAAATGATGACAATCTTATGAAACACTAATCTCTCGATAGATGCAGATGAATCTCTCGGGATGTCTATATATAAATCATTGGAACAATGATGTTTGGTGATGATGATAACATCATTGTCAGTTTTGAGGTACACTTTGTACAAGCTTACAAGGTATGCCCTAATCAACATGTTTGGTTTAGCAGTGTAAGGGTGAATTTTCTCCTTACAATTAAATCTAACACTTTATTCACTTGGTGCACCAGTTCATTCGTTATCAGGAGTCCACAACTTAATATGGGCTTCCCCATGGATTGTCTTATAGGATGGATATTAGCCATAGCTTTACTCGTTTCGGGCAAGGATGGGTTATGTTGGACTCGCACCAACTAAAACTCTATGGTCCTTGGGAAAGGATTTCTCCTCCCACTTATCCTTTTCTCAGGTAAGAACCACCGTGAACACAAAGAGGCCTTCCTCCACGGCCTCTAACTCCACCTGCGTAACTGAGGCTCCCCAAGCCCACTATGAGTAACCACCACGGGCCAGCCATGTGGTCTTCTCTTAATTTATTGCTTGTGGCGAAGCCACAGCTTTTAAGTCCTCCCGCCACGACAAAGCGGGGACTTTCAGTGGGGGGGATATTATTCATGCTGAGAATTCAATTGGTATTGATATCAGGAAGATGCTGCTGCCTATCTCCCGTTTTATTTACCTCAGTTGCCACTTACAACAGCCTCCGGATGATGCGGTGAAGTGGATGACATTTTTAATACAATAAATGTAAGCTAATCAGAGCCGTGGTAGCTCCGATGGTTAGCGCTCGCTGTAAATTTCACAGTGCGTGAGAAAACCGGGTTCGATCCCCACCGGCACCAATAAAATTGTTAATTGCAATTTTAAGTGCTGCTCTTTTTACCACATGCTCGGCGGTGAAGGTAAATATAGTGAGGAACCTGCATGTCAGAGAAATAAGAAAAAAAATTCGAAGACATGTGAAGTTTGCCAACACCCATTGGGCACCGCAGCTGACAATTCCTTGCCCTGAAACCCTCTCAGAAATGAGAGGAGGCCTAAGCCCAGCAGTGGGACGTATATAGGCTGTAACTTTCTACTTTAAATGTAAACTTGATTATTACTAGTTCCAAAAGGTATTTCAAAATAGTTAATTTTGTTCTTAAATCAGAACTCTAAGTGTAAAATTTTCAAAGAAAATGAATAAATTGTCTAATAAAAATATAAACATTCTTTAAATTCTTATCTTTAAGCGAAGCAATGTCACAGTCCATGCTTTACTATGTTTTATGTAGTAGAGCAATACTGTAACTATTTTAGTGTTATAGATGTAGCACAAATGGGTCTGCTAAATAGGGGAAGGACCACACTCACAGAATACTGCTGTTTAAGTAATGCTGTTGTGTTTCATATGGTCAGTGTGACCAGAAACCCTTTTTACTGTAAACGAGGCATTCCATTTTTTGTGCGTTCATGGACTTGGAAAAGGCCTATGACAGAGTGGATAGGGATTTGCTATGGCAAACACTGAACTCATTTGGGTTGAGCGCTGGCTTGATACAGGCATTGGAGTCTCTTTATAGGGACTCTAGTGCTTGTGTTAGGATCAACGGGGTCTACTCGGACTGGTTTGACATCCATAAAGGTGTCAGACAGGGCTGTGTGGCTTCCCCGTGGCTGTTCAACCTATTTATGGACAGTTGTTTGCAAAATTTGAAGGTTGAAGAATGCGGATTAAGAATGGGTGAGTTAACCGTCAAATGCCTTTTGTACGCCGATGATCAAGTTATTCTTGCGTCGTCGGCGGCCGAGTTGCAAATGATGGTTACATTAATGAACGGATCATTAAAAGAAAGGGGTATGAAAGTGAACGCAAGTAAGACGAAGGTTATGGTTTTTGAAAGAGAAGAAAGTAAAACGATTTGTGAAATAAGAATAGAAGGGGAGTTGATCGAGCAAGTAGATGAGTTTGTATATTTGGGCTGCGTATTTAGCAGGGATGGGAGATATGATAAGGATATAGAACGACGAGTGAATGCGGGAAATAGAGTAAATGGGGCCTTGCACTCTATTGTGAAGAGTCAAAATGTGTCGAAAAAGGCACGTATGGCAATTCACAATGCTGTGTTGGTCCCTACTTTAACGTATGGTAGTGAAAGTTGGGTGTGGCAGAAGAAGCACGAGAGTAGAATAAACGCAGTAGAAATGCGGTCGTTAAGGAGTATGTTAGGGCTAAATCTGAATGACAGGGTAAGAAATTGTGTAATAAGAGAAGAGTGTGGTTTGCAAGATGATGTTGTGACCAGGAATGCTTCGGTGGTTTGGTCAACAATGAATGAGGAAAGAGTGACAAAGAAAATTTATGGTGCAGAAGTGAATGGCAGAGTCGGAAAGGGACGTCCTAGGCGAAAATTTATCGACCAAATTGCGATTTATTGAAAACGGGCCAAATTAGGAGTACCCTTAACCGACAAGCATGTATATGTAGGTGTATGGATGTGAAGGAGGCAGAGAGGGGTGTGTCAGGATCGTGCCAAATGGAAGTCTGTAGTCTCTGCCTACCCCTCTGGGTGACAGGCGTGAGTGTTTATGTATGTATGTATGTATGAGGCATTCCATCTTGGTCCTCACAGGTGACAACGCATCTGTACTTTGATTTTTAATCAAGAATAGATGTCTATGGGTCACAGCAACCACTTACCGTCTGGTGGAGTGTGCAATGTCGCCTTCTTTATTTTAAAGGCACAGTTTGTTGATCCCTATCGACCATCGCCACGTGAAAAGTGATGATATGCATCTTATGCAAAATTTATTTTAAGACGAAATTAATATCCTGTTGCCAAAATACAAAATGTATTTGAATTATTTTTGCTGTATGCTAATAAAATGCTATACAGAGTTGCTGGTACCATTTATGTGTTTAACATAGCACCAGCCTCTATAACATTAATTTTATTTAAAAAAATGCAACTACAGGCTGTTAAAGATAGATGATATGAGACTTTTTATGGTTTCTAGAACAATGGCCGAGTTCAGATAACTCTCTGCTGTTAGAACGTAAAAGAAAGTTGTCAAAAAAGCTCTCAAAGGAAGAGAGGAACAAAACATGCAAGCGGTATACTGCGGAGGAACTACAAATGGCCATTGATGCAGTCCAGAACAATGAAATGTCGCATGCAGAAGCGGCTGAGTGTTTTAATGTGCCCAGGCGAACTATCTCTGCTAAGATCCACAGTATTATAGACAAAGAAGAGGGTAAGTTTGAAAAACAAATACTAGTGTGCTAATTATATTACTAACATTCCCCTTAACCACTTTTATTAACCTTAAGTTTAAAATGCTTGTCTTTTTTTATAAAACAGTCGATTCGCTCCGGTTACATATAAACACTCCTCTTGAATCATTATGTCTATTGATGACCGCATCAAAATCCATTACGTAGTTTAAAAGATCTAAGCATACAGATGGCAAGAAGCGACTTTGTTTTATAATATGTAGAGATGGGGGGTAATAAAACACAGTTCACCTGATGGCAATGTTTTGGCCCATAGACATCTACATCTATCCTCGATTAATAGAATAAAATGAAAATGCTGAGGACTAAGATGGAATGCCTCATTTCCAGTAAAATGGGTCTCCCGTTCTCTACACTTATGATATGAAACACAGCTGCATTAAGTTGCTATTTTACATTGAATTTTTTATGACAGTGTGGTGCTCCACGAAAAGACCAGCATATAGCATAATATAGTCATAACATATCTCCAGCATGGCTTTTGTGATAGAAGTGCTTCACGATTCACGACTGTAGTCGAATGGTAAATTGGAACCCGCGATCTCAAGTTTCGTAGTCCGTACCCTTAACCATTAGACTAGCTTCCCTTAGTAAATTAATTTCTGAGTAGGAGTTGTCAGGCGATGCATATATACAATGGTGATTTGTTTGAGGCCTTCATCAGACATAACTCTGTTTTTGACACAACTACACTTTCTAGTTACTACACTCTTTTGTTGTAGTGAACCTGTAAGGGATTTACAACTTGACGTTGTTCTGCCCTTTCTAATTGATGGTACTAAATCCTCTTTAGGACAAATAGAACCATCAGCAGCCATAACGACAATAGACTTTAATAAGAAGGAAAAACAACCCTTTTATTTACTTTTCTGTAAGCGAATAAAAAGTTAGTAGTAGTTAGTCAGCCTATATGTTATAAACTGTCATTTATCCATGTCCAGTATTTTTTCCGTGAATCGCAAACACACAATTTTGCTACAGATTTATTATATGCATAGATAACATAGACATATGAAAAGAATTTACATGGGTAATTATTAATTTAAATACTTTATTTTATTTTTAGTGGCGGTGTTAAGAATACCCACTACCGTATATATTATTTCGACTAATCTTAAGTTGCTCACTCCTTTACACCGTACTGGTTAGTTATCTCACTCTTTCGCTGTCACGGCCATCAGACTCTGAAATAATATCCCTCTTGACATTAAAAAAGCTCATCATCATTAGATCCTGCATATGAGTCCCCGGGTAACACCAAAATAGTTAATTAGGTTTGTCTTTCAAGAAATTCTCACTAGTAGACCCAAATCAGTAAGTAACAGTGTTTGACCCTGTGTTTCGGAAAGCATGTAAAGCCATTGGTCTTGCACACCTATCTCTCTCCGGTTGTGTCGTATTACCATCTCATCAGACTATGAGAGTAAGGGAATGTAGAGTGTGATGACAGTCACAGATGGCTATTCTCCATAGATACTGGCCGCCATGACTTAAATTCAATCTAGAGGACACTATCTACACGATAATATAAAATTGAAGTGTCTTTTTGTAATAACAAAAAACGCACTACTTGGCAAACGTCCCTATACCATCCACACCATCTGGATGCTTGGCGGTCCACCACTGTATTTTTCACTAGGAGTTTTCTACCGCGTACGACTTCTCTGTGGAATAGTTTACCACCCGCGATTTTTCCGGACAGATACGACCTGGGGACCTTCAAGAAAAGAGCTTACTCCTTTCTAAAGGGCCGGCAGCGCACCTGCAATTCCCCTGGTGTTGCGGTTGATGATGGGCGGCGGTAGTCACTTAACACCAGATGAGCCGATGCTCGTTTGCCCCCTCATCTATAAAAAAAAATAACAAAAAATAGGTTTTTACTAAATGCATGTTAATGTATATACCTATGGTAATTATAACAATAAAACAATTGTTAAAATTTTTGTCTGTCTTTCAGTTTGTTTTGCTAATCTCTGAAATGAATGGACTGGTTATGACGAGACTCACAGTTATATAAGTTATTCTACTAAACTTACCTTACTTTTTTAGAAATTGAATTAGAATTCCATGCAAAAAAACTTCCAGAGAAAAGAAATTCCAGGTTTTTATTAATATCATTATTAAAGGAGATACTACTCGTTCATTCCAAGAATGCCGTTACCTCCCGCCGCACTCCCTCACTCCGCGCCTCAAGCGTCGCCCTTTAAGTACCGATAGCAGCACCTTCGTAATATCTTACGTTTTTGAAATATTTTAAATGTAAAATAAAACTATAAAAATTTTAATTATAATATTTTATAATTGTATCGGACACATTCCTATTCACTGTTATTATTTCACTTTACTAAATAAATTATTTTATAATATGTATTTTATCTACTTGTCTGCTCTCTATTTCTGTGTACGGGATAACAAACTACTTCCTTAGTTTTGCTCAATTTGCCAAAAAATAGTCGTCATCATGTTTATGTGATAATATAGATAAACATGGTAACTTTTTTTCTCTACAGTACCGTCAGCTGTGATATCATAACGGTCGACGACGGCAAACTTGAAATGAACGCGTAGTAATAAGGTTCTTTATGGTTTCTAGAACAATCGCAAAGTCCAGAAGGAAATCGTAAAAGAAAATGGCCGAAGAAACTACCAAATAAAGAAAGAAACAAAACATACAAGCAGTATACCGAAAAGGCAATGAGAATGGCCATTGATGCTGTCCGGAAAAAAGGGATGTCACGTAGCAAAGCATCAGAGATGTTTAAGGTGCCTAAGAAGACTCTAGATGCTCGGCTTAGACTTCAGAATACTACTGTCAAAAACGAGGGTAAGTCAAGTACAAATAACGTAAATTAAAATTATAAAAACTTCCGAAAGAATAAGAGCTGATAATTTTTAAAGGGCTTTACAGATTTACATGAACCATAGCTAAAAACACTCGATTAGGAGGGCGTTTTTCAAATGTCTGCTACCTCGGAACTTTTTTATAGGTGAACAGAGTTTGATGATTCTTATTTTTATTTGAAAGCCGATGCTTCTCATGTGGTCTCATATAAATTTAATCAATATGTGACCAGTAGTTTTTGAGTTATCCTTAATAATGCGTATTTAATTGATTTCAACTACATTGATGATGTTCTCATTTAATTTATATTGAAGTCGGTTGTATAAAATATTTAATTTAACAACTTGTTCAAGGGAAATATCGTAACGATGTGAGCAGATTGTTTGAAAATTACTACTTCAGAAAGGTGATTAGTGCGCTGCAGATCAAAAAAATAATTTTTAACGACGGTTTTTTTTTTTGAGCGAAGGCGAAAATATGCGTCAGAGTTATCTTTTAGGTCAAACATAACAATTATCATAAGCTAAGATACTTTATTTTAAGTGTTATTACAATGGAATATACAGGGTTAATTCGCAATAATCGGACGAATTTGCAGAGAAGGTTCAGAATAAGTAATATAGACAAATGATGAAGAAAAATTTATTAAAAAAGATCTCAAACATTCTGTCCTTAAATTCAAATAACTGATTTTACTGTGTACGCACACATATGTAGGGGTCAGTTGGTAGGCAAAAACATTGTTGACCGTAAATCACATTCAGTTTAGGATAATATCAAATAAAATAGAAGCCTTTCGAAAACTGCAATAATGGTATATAATTTTTTATATATTTGAACTTAAGTTTAAATTTTGGCTACTCTTTGAAAGCTTATACAGGGTTATATAGTCTTGAAGTGCATTACAGAGCCGAAATAAAAAAAATATTTCAATTTAATATTGGGAACAAAACTAATAAGTCACTAAAACTGTCTATTTGAATATAAACCTATCTGTTATAATTATTTTATCAAAATACATGTAATGCTAAATTTCCAATAAAATTAAAGCTCTTTTTATTTAGTCAAATATTTTATACGATTATTTTATAAATACTATAAATCATCGTGCTAAGACGCCGTCCGTTCGTTGCGTTCCGGGTCCTCCCAACTAGGACGTATCACTTTTTGTTGAAGCACATCGATAGCGTGAATAATATTTATTTGTTGAATCCAAACATACTTTACATAAAAACAAAAAACATTGCTACAAAAAAGCACGCGAAAATACGATTGCTACTTCAGTAGCGCTGACACAATCCGCCATTTTGCTTATTTAATTTGTTTGTTTTGAAGTAGATTTTATAAGTTGTTTTGTGCAATATTAGTTTTAAGTAATATAATGACATGAATAAACATATACATGCTATTAAAAATTCATGATTGGTAAGTTTTTAATATGAATACTTTACAAACATATATTTAAATTAGGTTAGGTTCCCCGGTTAAAACTAACATCGTGTCCTGGAGGAAAATAGCTACTTACGATTTGACCGCGCTTACCGCTTACGATCGCCATTTTGCTTACAAGCGCTTGCTAGCGCTTTTTTCTGCCAAACGCACCCATTGACAAGATGTCAATCTAACTCAATACTATATTAAGGTATCTTTAGCAACCATGCTAGGTCACAGACCTGTGTTACAGCTGCTAACCTCCCCATTAAAACATAAAAACAATTTTACCGCAATCAAGAAATGAATAAAAGTGGGAAGAAGTGAAATAATTAGCCTAAAACCCTAATCAAAATGGCGATCGCAAGCGGTAAGCGCACTGTCAAATGGTAAGTAGCTATTTTCCTCTAGGACACAATGTTAGTTTTAACCGGGAACCTAACCTAATTTAAATATATGTTTGTGAAGTATTCATATTAAAAACTTACCAATCATGAATTTTTAATAACATTTATATGTTTATTCACGTCATTATATTACTTAAAACTAATATTGCAAAAAAACAACTTATAAACTCTACTTCAAAACAAACAAATTAAATAAGCAAAATGGCGGATTATGTCAGCGCTACTGAAGTAGCAATCGTGTCCTGGCCGAAAACTATTTTAGCGCTAGTAAGCGCTTGCTAGCGCTTTTTTCTGCCAAACGCACCCAATGTTCTAATCCGACAAATGGCTCAATACTATGAGTGAAAGTGCAATCCACCACCATGAATGATACTTTGTTAAATTATATTATTTCATTGATAATTATATACGTATCATGCCTAGTTTGAAGAGAACCTCCCGTTCTCCTTCCATTGCGTGCTCTATCCCCGTCACCACTAATCCCAACACCACTACATTAGGAACGAATCATCACCGTGGACAATGTGACAAAGACTGCGATGGCTGACTGCTAAGTCAGCAACCTGTGCAATGGAGCTCATATTATTCATTAATATCCTTATAGCCCATCACAACCTCAGACCACAGACCTGAGCCATTTGCATTCATTGACATCCAGCATCTCTTTGTATCCCTCGTCATAGCGGGTATAGTTTTAATGGCCATGCTTGGCGAGGTTTTGCAATCGCAGTTTTTTTATTGTAACTGTGCTTTTATCAGAAAGCCGCCGCTGCCCATATCCTTGCTTGTTTCGCCTCTTATAACACCCACGGGACGATATGCGGCGTTTATCTATATTATTTACCTACCTTACCTATAATTGATAAAATAAACAATGATGAATTCTAAAAGAAATCCTAACAAAGTTTTTAATATTTTCCAGAACCAGATGATGATGATGATGCATCTAAAATAATAGACCAAGAAAAACACTACAAACTCATAGAGGAAATTAAATCAATACTTACCTATACAAATGCTCTACCATACAAATCCAAATTGACAAAGTACTACTGTGCATACTGCTCTACCGATGGACCAGCTTTTTATGACCCCGATGATTTGAGGATTCACACTAAAACGAAGCATGTCGATGATCGGACCAAAGGCATAGATCTCCTAATGAGACCACACTGGCAAAATGAGGTGTTAAAAATTGATATACATAGTCTCCATTGTACAGTTTGCTGTACAATCCTGCCGACTTGGAACACCATGTTCCGACATCTGGAAGATGTGCATGAGGTTGTTCTAGACGAGGCCTACAACAGAGTTATACCTTATATCCTCGCAAGGGAGCTGAAATGTGCTTTATGTGAAGATGCCTTTCCGAATTACCACACGTTGGATGGACATATGAACGCCCATTACAGCAGTTACATTTGCTCCGAATGCGGCGATACTTTCTTATCAGCGAGCCGACTTAATAAACATTTGAGAGTACACAATACTGGGAGTTTCCCTTGCAAAGAATGCGGTAAAGTGTACAGTTTGAAGAGGTACTTGACAAAGCACTTTGACATGGTACATGGACAGAAGGACCAATACAAATGCTTATACTGTCCAGAAAGATTCTCCAGAACGTTCCAGCGACATCAGCATGTACTCAAAAAACACAAAGAGATGGTCAAGATAAAGACTTGTGAGATTTGTGGAAAGATTTTCGACTGGATGCCTTACTACTGGGCTCACATGAGACGAAAGCATGGGAAAGAGAGGAATGCAAACAGTGTGACAAAAAATTCCTCATGAAGTGTGAGTTGAGGGACTATCAAGAAAAGCATTTCGAGGGGAAGAACTTTTTGTGATGTGTGCAGTGAGAGATTTAAAACTAAAGCAGGCTTAGTGCAACATTGTCAGTTGCATCATAACTTTCCAACTGCAAAAAGTCAGACCTATCAGACGGTTAAATAAATCTGTATTGACAGATATGTTTAATGCCAACAATTTGGTATTTGGAACCACCATTAGTGAATAATTACATTTGTTACTGTTATTACTTAGGCCTCCGCCATAGCACAGTTTAAAGACTTTACAGTTGGGAAACGAATGTACTTGTGCAGAGCATCGGTGCGAGTACTGCAGGGCAGTGGCGGGTCGACCTTGTGCTAGTGCACTAGACTGAGTCTGATAGACAATACATGCTGTTGGCGCGAGCGTTTCTTATAGTACTTATTCAACTAATTTTAAGTACTGTTTTCGAAAATTATAGTATCTATAATAGTGAATTACTGTTACAGTTATATGAGTTACTATGTAAAATTGAATTCAAATGGCGGTCATGCTTATGTTACCCTCATTTATTTCCTTATAAAATTGTTTAGCCGAATGTGAATAATTAAATTTAATAATCGAATACTGAAAACATCTATAAAAAGAAAATGTCCATGAAAATATTTGGCAGTGCAACACTTGTGAATGTATGTTTTAACTTATTATTATGTACATAATGTTAATAAATGATATGGCTATTATAATATCTACAATTATTTTATAAACATACATGCTGTGTTTCGTATGGTGAGTGTAGAGAACCGTAGACCCTTTTTATTGGAATCGAGACCTTCTTAGTCCTCAGGGGTGACAACGTATTTGCATTTTGATTCTTAGTTGAAAATAAATGTGGATGTCTATAGGCCACAGCATTCTGTTACCATCGGGTGGACTGTATGCACTTTTGCCATCTCATAGGTCCCTCATTATCATGATCTCATTGATCCCATTACTAAAAAAAAAACACGGGGGCGAGAATCAATAAACTCTTTGAAGGCGGTTTAGACTGCCGCATCGGAGTTCAATTTTTTTCCTAGTAAGAAGTTGCCCAAATTCCGGATAAAAAGGTAATTTATTATTTTATTTATTTATTTAAACTTTATTGCACCTTAAGAAAAGGATTACAAAGGGCAGACTCAATATCATTAGGCATTCTCTCCCAGTCAACCCGGGACGTGTGGAAATTATGTGATAGGTGACAAAATAAAATGAACAATAGAGTAAATCAAGGAAAAAACTACTGATACACTTAAAAATAAACTGATATAAATATAAATAAAATAAACTTATATACTATAAAATATAATACAGACAATATATTATATTTACATACAAATACATAAATATATACATATTTTAAATACAAATAGATATAAAACATAAACCTATAAATAAAATAACAAAGGTAAGCAAATTGACCATATTAACTATTGTGGCGGCGCTGTCATCGCGCCGCAAGCGAAACACACCGAAGCTTAAATCACGCTATTAACATTCTGAATCATAAACAGCATATATAGAACATCTCCGAATTATCAGACGGAGCGTTGGCCGCTCCCCGGGCATAACACCTTGCCCGGCGGGAGTTCTCCCCTTTTCCTACTACGGCCACAGTGGTGACCACCCGACGTGATCTGAACAAAGTTGTAGTTTCCGAAGGTTGTTGGTTGCGACAACCTTCGGAAACTACAACTTTCAAGCCTTCATTATCCTCAAGAACCCCTACCATTCACTACTGAGAATCGTCTTCTGCAGTCTTCAGTTCCTGCAAGCCAGTCCAAATTGTCTTCATCTCGACTCACCGCAGATTTATAAGGCAGACTTCTGGCACTTGCTCCGGCACATCGTTCTCACCGGCATCACTTGCCAGTGCGTAGTACGGCATGCATTACACATCGGCATATCATTCGCACCGGTGTCACTTGCCCTTACGTACACAGCGTGCATTCCCCACCGGCATTAAAAGGACACACCGGCAATCGGACTGCACTATCGACCGCCGATCTGAGCAGGGGGGTGATGTGGCGGCGCTGTCATCGCGCCGCAAGCGAAACACACCGAAGCTTAAATCACGCTATTAACATCATAAACAGCATATATAGAACATCTCCGAACTATCACATGGAGTGTAGGCCGCTCCCCTGGCATAACACCTTGCCCGGCGGGAGATCTCCCCTTTTCCTACTACGGCCACACTATCATCTAATATCTTCATAAAGTGCTTATGTACCAATCTTTTAAAGGCAGTCTTATTAGAAGTTTTTCTGATGTCGTCAGCCAGAGTTCCAGAGCAGTGCTGCCTGAATGGTGAAGGATTTACTAACAAAATTAGTAAAATGTAGTGGGATACTTAGTAAAGTTACAGTCTATATACGTCCCACTGCTGGGCACAAGCCTCCTCTCATTTATGAGAGGGTTTTAGGGCAAGAAATATTCCGCCCCGCTGCCCCAATGCGTGTTGGAGAACTTCACATGTCTTCGAAATGGTTTTTTTTTCTTATTTCTCAGACATGCAGGTTTCCTCACGATGTTTTCCTTCACCGCCGAGCACGTGGTAAATCAGCACTTAAAATTGCAATTAACAATTTCATTGGTGCCGGTGGGGATCGAACCCGGTTTGCTCGCGTTTTGCGAAATTTACAGCGAGTGCCAACCATCTGAGCTACCACTGCTCTTTTTGGGATACTTAGTTTATTATTATATGAGGAACGCAGAGTTCTAATACATACTTACTTACTGAAATTTCTCCTTGAGATAAGAAGGAGTGGATGGATCATTTAAGATAGAGAAGAGTACAAGCAAAATTGTAGAGTCACGCCTCTGTTTAAAAGTGAGCCATTTAAGGCGAGAGCGATAATTCGGTAATCTGTTGGAGCAAGGTCCGGGGAGTACGGTGGATGTCACAGACATTCCAATTGTAGCTCATCTAACTTAGTGGTTGTTTGTTGTGCAGTGAGTGGTCTTGTGTTGTCGTGAAGCAGCAGTGGCCTAGAATAGAGCGATTAACCAATCTCGGTTTAGCAGCTAGTTCTTTCTTCATGGCTTGCAGTTGCTGACAATAGATATCTGCCGTGATCGTTTGGCCAGATTTTAGAAAGCTGTAGTGAACGACACCGGCGCTAGTCCACAAAACACAAGTAACTTTCTAAGTCGATTTTCGTTTAGGGCAGGATTTGGCTGGGTCTCCAGGGTTTAACCATTGCGACGAGCGCTTCGGATTATCGTACAGTATCCACTTTTCATCACAAGTAATGATTCGATTTAAAATCCTTTCATTTTTGTGTCGGTTGAGCAAAGTAACACAACAGTCGACGCATGTTTGCAAGTTCGATTCACTCAATTCATGAGGTGTCCATCGTTCAAATTTTTTAACTTTCCCGATTTGCTTCAAGTAGATTAATACAGTTTTATCACTTACCCAGAAGCCTGCAGATATCTCTGAAGTGCTTTTTGATGGATCCGCCCGCTTCCACAATAGCCTTTAGTTCTCCATTTTCCACTTTGGTTTCTGGCCATCCATGGGGTTGGTTCTGAAGGTCGAAATTTCCAGAACGAAAACGTTGAAACAAAAAACGTACCGTGCTTTCTTTTGCGACACCAGCGCCGTACACGTCATTAATCCTTCGAGCTGTTTCTGTAGCACTGTTGCCACGGTAGAACTCGTACTCGTAAATATACCGATATTTCATGTTTTTCATTGTGCGGTAATAAGCAGCGCCAAAGAAAAAAATTATGAGGAAAAACAAATGAATGACTGTTTTCAAAACTCAAATGTACCATTGAAGTCTTGCAGTGGTATGCTTGCTTTAAATTAACAAAATTAAACCCAAATTCAAGCATACCACTGCAAGACTTCAAGATACTGTAAGTTCATTTTGCGTAAATCGGACCAAAAATTAATATTCAAATGTACCAGCTAAATGAATTTATAAATTTGAATTTGGAATGTTTAACCAAAGAGGAGATATTTCAGATCAAAGTGGTCAGTACGTCAAACCGCTAATTTCATATGTAATGACCCAATATTTTAACCATATTAATCTAAATGCATGGTAAAGAGGACCATTTTATATGGGGGCTGAAGCTGAAACATGTCCATAATAGAACAATTTTAAAGATAAAGGGTAACACACGGGCACACAGTCCACCTGGTGGTAATTGAATGCTATGACCTAATGACATCTACATCTATCCTCGATCAGTGGCGAAGCTAGGGCTCCAAACTTGGGCAAGCCCAAGATATAGTTTTGTTGTTTTTAGCAGTTTTATAAAAATACACCAACCTTGATCTGTCGTGTTTAACAAAGCACACAGAAGGCATACTACCCGCTAGATAGAATGTATGACATATGAAATTGCATACAATTTTGCATAAAAAAGATATTTACATACAATACAATACATGAACAAAAGAAAAGCATGAACAAAGTACAAACAAACTATGTACAAAATTAAAAAAAAAAGAGACGCCTAGCAGATGTGAAACATCGAAATTATTTTGTTTAAGTTATATGCAAAGAAGAACAGATTACGACAGGAATTATGTAGATATGGTATAATGAAAAGATAAAGCTTTGCATATTTTTTTACCATAAAATAATGATTATTTATTATATAATTATTCATTTTCAATTTTAACCTCTTGAGCGCCACGCCAAAAACGCATTACAGTGTCCTGTACGCCAAAGCGAAAATTAAACAAAAATACCTACGAATAAAATAGTGTTGCCAAGAGTTGATATGTCGATAACACAAAATAACTTGATTTTGTTGGTTTTTTATGCAATAAATGACTCTTAGTAATCTGGTATGTTTTATTTAATCTTGTGCCGTCTTCCACTCTTTTTATATATGTACTTTGTACATAAATAAAAACAAACAATAACAATGAAATAATAGTAAACCACAACACTACTCTGCATCGTGATGACGGCACTGTCACGACTGGACGACAACGGCGTAGCTGACCTCAGACCTTC